AAAAAAAACATTTGTTATAAATTCATAGTATTTATAATTATAAAAATTATGTATTACTGTAATTATATATTACTTCTAGAAAGTAAACTAAATTTTCTTCCGTTATTTTGCAAAAAAGTGCTATCAGTTTAAATATAATCATTGAAATAATCGGGGAATTATTGAAATTATATAATGAGTAACTAGAAATAAAACGGAGTTTATACTTGTTCAAAAATAACCTAGTTTATTAAAATTGGATAATAGATGCCTGATCTACACGTGTTATAATATTCTACTCTTGTAATGCTTTTCCATGGAAAACACTATACGGACATAAAGTGTTATACACACCAATATTACACACAGTGTACATTACATGTATAGTAAAAATATAATGTAATATAAGTGTTGCTCAGAATCAGATTGTTTAAAATGATTGATTAATGATTATTTAGATTATTACCGATATATAGGCAATGAATAAATGCCGGGTAATTACTCTCTGTTGACAGGACTCACGCTTTACTGACGAAGTGGACCAAAAGACTGGTTATACGACACGAAACATGTTATGTAACCCTATTTTGGACATTTATGGCGGAGTGATGGGAGTCGCGCAAGTGATCAACAAAACAGGCACTCCTTGTTTCACAGAGAAAGACGAGAACGTCTTCGAACAATACCTTCAGTTTTGTGGCATTGGCCTCAAGAACGCAGATCTCTATGAAAGGTCACAGTTGGAGAATAAAAGGAATCAGGTGTTATTAGATTTGGCCAGGATGGTTTTCGAGAAGCAATCCAATATTGAAAATATCATATATAGGATTCTATTACATATACAATCACTTTTGCAATGTTCAAGGTAAATTATAGTGTCATCGTTGCAATACTTAATAATTTATATCGAAAATTGTATTATACATGTAGTTTTGATGAATGTAATTGTCATTTGTTTAGATGTCAGGTATTATTATTGGCGGAGAATTCACAAGAGAATGATATTAATGAGGGAAACGATAATGAGTTGGAATGCAAGTCAAACACAAACCAAACAAAAGAGAGTCAACTAAATATGAAAAACCAAAGCTTTTGCAGTTTTTCTCGTGTTTTCGATCTCGAAGCTGAAGACTTGGGCGGAAGCGATGAGTGCGAGACACGACTCAGTCCTTTCGAAGGCAGGTTTCCAATCAATATAGGAATTACTGGATTTGTGGCCACAAGTGGACAGACACTCAATATTGCCGACGCCTACGAAGATCCCAGATTTGACCCCTCAGTAGATAACGATAATCACAAAGCTTTTCGAACCAAACAAATCCTATGTATGCCTATTCGTAACGCTGAGCACCACATCATTGGCGTCTCTCAACTCATCAATAAACTTAATGAAAGACCTTTTAATAAAAATGATGAAAACTTGTTTGAAGTGAGTTCTTTGTCCATTTGTCCATGTGTCATGATTCTTTTATACCCTTATTATAAACTGTATTGTTCTTATTTAATACAAATGCCACATTTACAATTCATACAAGATTAATGTGGAGCATAATTAACCAATTTTTAACCATTTGTCTTATATGAATCATTGTTTTTACCTAAAGAATTAAGATGGCTAATCACAATTATTCTAAAACAATACCTACAATTGTAGTGCAGTAAAAATTATAGTCTAAACTACAAAATAGCAACTTTTCCTCTCACGAGTAGTGTTGCCAACTCGCCACTATTTAAGTGGCAATTCTCTATTTTGGGTACGTGCCACAATAAACTGAAGGGCAAATAGTGGCATAGAAATGTCCACTATTTTATTTTTAGAAAAATTAAAAAACTTTTGGTAGAAATACTGCAAATACCTAATAAAAACTTAGAAAAAAATTAATTATTATCTTGAAATTTTGTAATATGGTATATGAATTATTGTAATATTTAACATTGCGCAATTAAACAATGCTTAAACTATGGATTTAAAAATTACTATCGATTTGCAAATAATAGACAACAAAATATTGTTTCAAATAATAAAAATTAATATTTTAAATAAAAATATTAATAATATTTAGGAACATTTAAATAGTGTTCACTATTTTTTAAGTTGAATTAATGAAATCAATTACATAGAAATATTGAGCGATTTTAAAATATTAATCAATTTTATTTTTAGTAATTAAAAAACTTGTTATCTAATACTATTAGAAATTATAATTCAATACTTCTAGCGTAAGACATTTTTATAAAATCTAGTTATTAATAATGTATTCGTTAAAAACGGGAAAAATTGTCAAAAGCAATTTGTCCTATATCCTGCTCATAATGAGACATGAGAACTGCCTCTTGATCATTTTCACCACGTATTAGAGTATAAATCCTTAATTTGCAGTATACTGTATATGACTTAGGGAGAAATTATTTTCTGTGCAAATGACCAACCCTATTAATAATGATACAAAAATGTGCAGAATGTCCATTAGATGTATTATCAATCGTCAAAATCGGCAAATGGCCAGAGACGTTTGAGTACTGGCCAATTTTCAAATCACTCGTCTGTAGCTTATAGCATTACATTAATGTGATCGACCATTCATTATGTAAATCACCTTTTTTCAATGCTATAAGCATTGTAAAGCATTATATACAGTAATATCAATGGTATATGCAATATCAATGGATAGTATATGCAATACTGTGGTATATAATTTTTTCAATAAATTTTTCAAATGTTTAAATATAAACTGCAAGAAAATAAGCATATATTTTGCGATAAATGAGTAAATATGAGCAGTGAAACAATAAATATCCATTAGATGTATTATCAATCGTCAAAATCGGCAAATGGCCAGAGACGTTTGAGTACTGGCCAATTTTCAAATCACTCGTCTGTAGCTTATAGCATTACATTAATGTGATCGACCATTCATTATGTGAATCACCTTTTTTCAATGCTATAAGCATTGTATATACAGTAATAGTATATGCAATACTGTGGTATATAATTTTTTCAATAAATTTTTCAAATGTTTAAATATAAACTGCAAGAAAATAAGCATATATTTTGCGATAAATGAGTAAATATGAGCAGTGAAACAATAAATACATGAAATGTCATTTATTTTAACCAATTCCTTACTAAAAACTACTAATTTTATGTAATGTTTTTAATAATCCACCACTAATTTAATAGTACAGTACATCGGTTAAAATAAATTAATATTTTATGAATTTTTAAAATTAGGTTTGGTTGCAGCTAAAAAAGTTTTAAGTTATGCATAAAATTGCTGAAGTTATTAATATATTTCTGTTGCCGTGCTAGTTACCTGGGCAAATTATATATGGAATTAAATTTATGTTATCAGGGAACAATTCTGTAAAAACAGATTCAAAATCGAATCACACAATCAAAAGTTATTTAAGTTTTTAGAACGGAATTAAGTTATTTGGTTAACTGTATGTTAACTGTTATGATCTTTTGATTAATTCATGGCTTGTCTTTAGTCTGCATATTGTAACTCATTTGTTGGCCCTATTTATGGAATCTTAATCTATATCAGTTTATAATATTAAAAAAGTTTATAATATATTAATAATATTATATATTATTATATGAACGAACAACAACCAAACGGCATTAAGTACTCAATGTATTTCCTATGGACAATTAGTAGTAATCATAACTCAATAAGTACTGGACCAATTTTTACAATTTATATACCAAATTGTTCAGAATAAAATTTTCTTTAAGAGACGTATCAGGAATTTTTCTATAAATGATAAGAATCAGAATATACTCATATTAAAGAAGTAAAAATACAATAATTTAAAGTCTTACTATTTAAAAACTATTGATTCAATTTTAATTATTAATATATCAAATTTGTCATAATTGAAAATAAAAAAATATAAATTTTTAGTTTTTAAAAATTTTAATCGTAAAGATATTTAGACCTTATTTTCTAATTTTATGTGCAAAACTAAGGCTTATAATTAAAATATTCAAATTCAAAAAAATTATATTATCATATTCTTCATTTAAACTAATGTAGGAGCTCGGGTGCTCCCGAGGTTCGGGTCTGGTCAGGTCAAGTCACTCTCAGGACTCACACAATCACACAATCAATATTTGAATTATAAAATAAGTTTTATTTGAAGTAAAAAGCGTTACAAAATGTAGGAGCTCGGGTGCTCCCGAGGTTCGGGTCTGGTCAGGTCAAGTCACTCTCAGGACTCACACAATCACACAATCAATATTTGAATTATAAAATAAGTTTTATTTGAAGTAAAAAGCGTTACAAACTGTGATTACATTCTAGTCATTGAATACACATTATAGGAAACACATTGTGATATAACTCTAGTCAAGCCAAGCGTTAATGCCGGCGACCAATACTGTAATGACTACTCAATCAATACATATCTGTGATAACTCTGTGATAGCAATATATCTGTGATTACATAATGTGATAGCAATTCATGTGATAAAGCAAAGGATGTGATAACTAAACAATTATTAGTGAACACATTGTGTTGATACAAACTTCTAGTCAACAATTCATTCATTAATATAAACATATTCTAGTCATTAGACTCTACANTAACTCTGTGATAGCAATATATCTGTGATTACATAATGTGATAGCAATTCATGTGATAAAGCAAAGGATGTGATAACTAAACAATTATTAGTGAACACATTGTGTTGATACAAACTTCTAGTCAACAATTCATTCATTAATATAAACATATTCTAGTCATTAGACTCTACAAATCTCCCTCTGCTTTAGTTAAAAATTCTTAACAATAATTTTTAAAATTCTTATTGAAATTGTTATAATTAATAAAAATTAATTAATAAGGTAAGCATATATTAAGTATATTAAGCATAAAAACAATATAAGCAA